GTGTTTCACAAAACTCAAAAGGAAAATTCACATTATACTTGCAGCGCCCACTATCCACCAGACCAGAGAAATGAGTGGAAGCAATTTCTGACCTTAAAAATGAACATCCTGGGACTTGTTATTCCCATGTTAGTTATGATCTGCAGCTACACACAAATTATAAAGACATTACTGCAATGTAGGAATGAGAAGAAAAATAAAGCAGTCAGGCTTATTTTTATCATTATGATTGTCTACTTTTTTTTCTGGGCACCATACAATATTTGCATTCTCTTGCGTGATTTTCAAGGTACGTTTTTCATCACTACTTGTGAAGGCAGCGGTCAACTGCACAAAGCAATCCAAGTGACAGAAACAATCTCAATGATCCACTGTTGTATCAACCCTGTAATCTATGCCTTTGCTGGAGAAAAATTTAGGAAGTATCTTCATAAGTTTTTCCGAAAGCAGATTGCATTCCACTTCAGTAACCACTGTCCCATTTTCTATGCCGACACAGCTGAGGGAACCAGCTCCACCTACACGCAGTCTACTGGAGAACAAGAAGTTTCTGTGGCATTGTAAGCTGTGTCTAGAGAAAAAGCAGAATTGACTTTTGCGAAATCAAGTCTGTGATGAAAGCCTGCAGAAGCTGTCCCAGATATTGGCTCTTAGGCAGCTGCGAATGACCACAGAATATATTGTTGCCAAAGGTTGCAGTTGTTCATACATTTGGACATTTGTACCTAAAAGGATGTATCAAATTAGCTACCTAGATATGCTAGCATGGGATTCTGTGCAGAAAAAGTGTTCTCTTTTTCCATGCATGTAAAAGTAGAGTTTTGTAGTAAACAGCCCAAACACACACAAAGGCTGAGGGTTTAAGCTAGCAGGCTCAGACTGATTTTCTGAAGTGAACTAGAGGTTAGAAATTGATACTGGTTCATTGGAAACATCTCTTGAGTGTACTTTACACAAAGCTAATTCACTCATTTAAACTCCATCTTAGTCACATCTTTTACTAGCCAGGCTGTGTATATCTGTAAATAATGCTAAGTTGCTGAGGTCTGTGACACAAGATCTTTACAAGTGTTATGGGAAAGTTTATAAACATTGAGAAGACACTTTGATATTTCAAGGTGTATTTTCCTTTGTATTGAGCACCAGTCTCTTGAATCTTTCTCATAATAGTTTTAACTACTAGGTGTTGATATCTAAGTGATTTGTGTTTGATATTTCAGAAGGCTCTCTTCTAATCAACCACTGGTTTATATGCTATTCATATTAAAAAGATAGTATAATGACCTATCATTGAACATAAAATCCATGTGTTTGTAATACTTTAAAAATGAATTATTGCTTTAACCATGTTAGATCGGATGTGGACAATGAGTCAACAGGGGTTTAGCTTTTTAGTGTAGTGATTTTGCTTGCCATTTTTCTAGCTTACATAAGAGAAAAATATTAAAATATTAAATTAATGCAGTCTTAAAGGCTGCAAAAATCACAACAGCATTAGAAGTGTGAAAAGGATTTCTGAACAGGGCTGACAGATGTTTTTAAAGGTAAGCATGTGCTATAGATATTTAAGTTATCAAAACATATGGATAAGTAAAATTATTCGCAGTTCTACAGAGTCAAGGGTATAGAGCCTCACTTTTTTAGAAGCAAGAATCATTTGGTGGCTATGACAATGTTTTTTTCAGCCATTTGTGGGTTTTACAGAAAGCATGATGGTCAAATATGACTAGGCTTCCCTTTGAAAGCTCAGATCCTGCAGAGCACTTGAATACACAGAAAAGATGAAATAAATACAGGGACAATCAAGTGCTTAAGATCATACCATAATCACGCTATTAATTGATTTTAGCCAAGTTGTCCTTTTTAGCATTTCTTATAGTTTGCCTAAGATATGTGGGTTTCGAGAACAGGAAGTTAGAAGTATTCTGATTGCTGTTCTTATCCAGCAAGGCAATTTCTGCTTCCCAGCTCCTCTAGATAGCCTTCTAAATAACAACTTCAAAGAAGCAAATGTTTCAAACAGCCCCAAAGAGATTTTACATTGCCAAGTGCTTGTAAAAGCAGGAAGTGAAACAGGGAAATCTTTGCTTATCAAACCATTTAAGTTATTCAGTTTTGCATATTAAGCACCACTTGCAGACTATATCCGCCTATGAAATATAACAGAAGTATTCTACATCTAATTTACAAGACTTGGAGATTCACAGTCTTTTCTAACATCTTGTGCATCTTATGCTTTTGAAACATATAACTGTATCAGTATAAGCAGAAACTGGGTAACTTCGACATAAATATATGCATTTATTTTATAAAGAGTAACAATTGGATAGGCTGACTTTTTTTTTTAATTCTAGAATCCTTTTATGAAAATATTTTCATATTTTATTCTGCTCTAGACAAGAACTTTCATTTGGCCCATAAGATACCTTGCCTTCAAAAAATTACTTTCACAGGAGAACTTTGATGCCAGACAGGGTGTGTACCTTGACCAGCCTCGCAGGAGCAAAGTACAACCAAATGTCCATGAGCAGTCTTTCCGAGATGCATGTCAAAAAGCAGCCCCCATCCTCTGCAGCATTCCCTTCGACAGCAGGGATCTTTCTAAGCGACAAGCAGCTTCCAAAGGGAAAGGTGGAATTTAGAGACTGGTGTCCCAGTGGATCAGCAGCTTATCAAGAGTTTCTATCACTTCACTGAGATGGGACCATGCTTTAGCAAAAGAGAACAAGGCAGAACCCAGTTACTGTAGAGAACTATGCGCAACGTTCAAGGATATAACAGAAAACATGGTATTTAGTAGCACTGCTGGTGTGTTCAATTAAGGACTCTCCTAATAGATTTTAATACTATTCTGTACCATACAATCTATTAAAATTGGTTAATTTCTGTGTGTTAAATTTCTTGATCCTTTTCCCACCACTGACCCTCTCCTTTATTTCCCTGCCCTCCTTCCTGACAAAAATAGCCCAGAAGAATAAAAAAGGAAGAGAAATTCCTCTTCGTAACAGTTTGGCATGGTGCTGAAAGAGCAGACAGGACAAGAGGTTTTACAAGTGGCCTAAGAACCTGCATCATCAACTAACACAGGACCATCAAGATAACTCCAGTGCTCTTAACTACTTGTCACTAAAAATCTAATAATAAATGTGCTAATTGTGGCTGTCATTACATTTGGTTTTATTTTTACAGATGGGAGAAGTGCTATCTCACGTAATTCACTCCGATCCTGGAAGATAAGTGGTTTTTAAAATCAATAAGCATACAACAGAACTTTCAGTGTGTTTAGGATCTGACCTACTGACCGAAGAACGAAAATCTAACAAGTTGTGCACACATTCCCCTTCCGTTCTTAAGATTCTAGTGCCATCATGTGGCCACACTGTAAAGTTTCACGATACCGATAATCCACCACTCGGGCAATGCTTTTGGTGCTTTCCTCTTTTGAAAGACGTTTTTTCCTAAGAGGATTTTCTATCAAAATGACTATCCCCACTACAGGCAGCGTCAATATTATGCAGATAGCAGCAACCCTCAGAAAACACTCATGGCCACTAAGAACAGAGGTTTGTTGGATGAGTGGGCACAGCCACCTTTTAATTTAGGCAGATAGAAGAGTGTGATACGGAAGGGATGCTTGTTTTGGTTCCTGCACAAGTTTCGTACACACTCACGTTAGGCAAATTCCATCCATGAGAGCATTTGATATTTTCGTCCATTGCTTGAAAGCTACAAGAATAAAAACATATTCCCTACGGAATTTTTCCTCTGAGAAAAGACAGCGAGGATTGTGAGTAGGATGGAAATGGGATGTTCACACTTCCAACCTTTCCCAGGCGTTGGCAGCTGTAACGCCCCCTCCCTGCTCCCCTGCACAGAATCACGGGATCAGGACAGGATCTCTGAAGATCACCTAGTCCAGCCCCCCTGCCAGAGCAGGATCACCTGCGGTAGGTCACACAGGAACGCATCCAGGTGGGTTTCAAATGTCCCCAGAGAAGGAAACTCCACAAGCTCCCTGGGCAGCCTGTGCCAGGGCTCTGTCACCCTCACAGTGAAAAAAGTTTTCCTTATATTTAGCCTGAACCTCCTGTTTCCCAGTTTGTGACCCCTGCCCCTTGTCCTGTCACTGGACACCGCCGAGGAGAGCCTGGCCCCATCCTCCTGACATTTAGATATTTACAAGCATTGATGAGATTCCCCCCTTCGCCTCCTCTTCTTCAGGCCAAACAGACCCAGCCCCCTCAGCCTTTCCAAGCGGCCCTCAGGAGATTTTTGGATACTGGCACTAGGGACGCACCCTTTCCCACCACCTCCTACGGCAGCAATAATTCCCAGACCGGAGAGGA